CAACACTAGATAATGACGCTGTTTCCACTACTGGATCAGGATGTTTCTTACCAAGTTTTACTAAAAATATCATGATTATTATTTATTAGTAATTGGTTCAATTAATAGTATTTACATTTGGAAGGCATATAATCAGCATATGTCTCAGCAACTCCCATATCCTCATCCTCATTTTCTTCTTCATCTTCTCCAGTACGCCCACCACTAGACATCTATAATATGTGACAGAAAAGTATTATTGAAACCATCAATGATTAATAAAATTAATTTAAAGTTCAAACATTTTTAGCCTTCCTCTGAGCTTCTAATTTGTTATTTTAGATATACAATATATATGAATATCTTTAAAGATTAATTATAATAATAATTAATTAACTTTTTTCCTGCATGATATAACTCTATTTTATAAAATCWAACCAAAGAATACATTTTTAAAAATTCCAGTGGTTAATCCGTTAACTAATAAGTCTAAATTATATATAAAAAGAAATAGTTAATAAAATATTTTTTTGGATACTGCAGTATTAAAATTAACAACAATAATTTTTAACTTCTACAGGGAAAATGATGTCACAGATGTTGACATGATTTCAAAAATAAAATAAATTAGCACTTTTTTAYAATAATTAACAAAACATTCTAAACAATCTAAATATTCCCTATACTCATGAATTATTCTCAAGTATGCCAAAACAAATTCTTGCCTATCAACACAGAGCTGAATCACATATAATTAATTAATATATTAAATGTAATTTATAGTATTTAAAATATTAAATGAATGATCTAGTAGTTTTTTTTTTTTTAATTTAAAACATTAATTACTTTATTATTCATTGTTTGATTGAACCAATATGGAGATACATTTTTAGGCCCCATTGGAAAACTTTGTTGAGTAAATGGTTGTTGCATAATATTTTGTAACAGCATAGATGCAGCAGGTCCTCCTGAACTTAGTAGTTGTGATATCAAAGCAGCATTATTGCCACCATTACTCATTAATGCTTGTAAAAGAAAATTTGTAGCAGCGTTGCCATCCATCATTCCAGCTGAACCACCACTGCCCATACCTAATTATAAAAAGTTATGATAAATAATACTTATTAGAATATAAAATAAAAATATTGTATACTATATTCTAATTTAAAATACCTTGTAAAAATTGAGCTTGATTTATATTAGGAGGCATCATTCCTGGATAAGCCATATTTTGAGGGAACATCATATTATTCATATTTGAAGAGCCTTGTGCCAAATTCATGAAAGGATTTCCCATCATGGCACCCATCCAATTGTTCATACCACCCATATTTTTTGCATAGCCTAAAATAAATGGTTTATACAAAGTTATAATTTGAATATGGGAATAATATAATAAATAATAGAATTTCAATATTTTTCTCAGAACTAAAAATGTATTGTGAAGT